AAAAAGTACTTTGAGACAATGGAAAGCTGATTCAATAGCTGCACAGCGGAGAGGCAGGCTCGTGGTGCAGCCTGTGCAGTACGAGCAGAGTGCTGCAGCACGTTTACGCAATGCAAATGACTTAGATGCAACGGGGAGAAGAAGGAAGAGAAACAAAGGCCAGACCCAGTGAAGAGCAGTTAAAATGCAATGGATGCAGATCTCTGTGGGAATTTGGAAGGAAACCTGCAGAGCTGCATCTCTGCATCCTTGCAGAGATATTGGGGTCAGACTGGCAGCTGGGGCAGGTAGCAGCAGTGCTGCTGTGGTCAGACAGTGCGTGGTTTTGTGGCCTCTCCAGCACTGTGTAACAGACCTACCAGGCTGGGTGAACCTCAGACACGTCTCCCCCATCGGGGACTTGCTCAGGCTTTCCCTACACACACAGGAAGCCCTCAGTTAACAAATTTTAGCCAAAAAAGCAACACCTGAAAGATGCTTTTCACCCTTCTCTAAAAAGTACAGCCAAAATGCAGCACAGCTGGAACTGATTAGCTTTAAAAGCTCCTGCTGGTTTGTCTACCTGTATCACACCGCGCCAGTCTCTCTGCTTAACAAGGAGCAACTGTTGCAAGGCAAAGCAGTAGAAGGTGCCTCCAAATGCTAGGTGGCCCAAATGATGTGGCAGTGCCATGCGGAGCGGGGATGCAGCTGCATACAAAACACATGCAGGCATTTTGGGGATGCAGTCCTGCTGCTGGGTTCCCACCCTCAGCCTTGCACAGCATGCCCCTGGACACTGGGGACATCCCTGCGGAGCAAACCCAGTGACGAAACCTTCGAGTCTGGTTAATCATCCCCGTATGAAACCATTTTGATTTTTCCCTGAGTGCCCTTTGCTATTACAGGAGTTCATGACTAGGAGTGGGTGAGACTGAAGATATAATTAGAGGTGCATTCATCACTCCTGCTGGTAATTGTTTTCTAAGAACCCATAAAAAGAGAAATTATTGCCTTCTGAAGTGCTCCACAGTGCTGCATGTATGAGCCACAAACGCTGCGAAACGGGTGGTCCCTGTCCCCATGAGGGACCCCACTGGCCCCCTGTGTCCCTGGGGGGACAAATGGGGGCAAATCAGGGCTGCAAGAGCAAAACAAAAAAAAAAAGCCATTGGGAGAAATTTATGGGGCTGCAAGGAAAACCACTGCAGTCACCAGAGTGCTCAGCATTGCCTTCTGAACTGCTGAAACCTGCAACGTGCAGGGTGACACAGCAACGGAAAAGGTGGAAAAGGAAACGCGAGAGTTTATTCAGGTCTGGGATTCAACCTCCACTTTCCCTGTGATGGCCTGCAGCAAAACAAATTTATGTTAAATAACTGACTGAAAATAAAATGTTTCTTGATCTGGGAGGGGAGAGGTTTAAGAGTCTCCCTGTGAAAATGAGGCCAGTTGATCTGTGCCTTGGTTGTTTTTTCCACTAAATCAAAGTGGGTATAAAGCGCTGCTGGATCAGAATGGCACCACCGCTACCAGCTGCGGTGCCTCCCCTTGGCTCCCTGTGCTCCAACTTGCACTGACACCCCTGTCCTTGGGGAAAAATGCCAGAGGAGGAGCAGCCACATGGGGCAGTGAACACTTCTCAGTGATGGACTGGGATGTGCAACTCATATGCTGCTTTTATAAAAGTTTATTTATACAGAGCTGATCAGTGCACTGGATTGTGCAGGATGGCGTGCTCCTGCTTGCTCTTCAAACATATTACTTCCACTGAAAAATGCATGCCGGCATTTCAGGAGCCTTATAATGGGCTGTGCATTGCATAATGCATACTATTGTACCCTGCAAAATAACTTTATCGTGGTATTCCAGCACATGTCATCAGGAGGGCCTTGCTGCATCCCGGTAAATGCTGAGTTTTGCACTTGGTCTAAGTGCTGAATAGAAAAATCCATTCCTCCATGAGCTTCCCTTATTAGTAAACACTAATAAGCTATTGAGCAACATTTAGTGCAACTGTCAAGAAACCTGACCATAATAACAGCGCCTCATTGAGCCCCTGGCACTGACAGACAGCCCAGTGCTGTGCAGCAGTAGATGGTGCTCGTGCTTTGCGTTAGCTGCCTGCAGCCGCAGCATCAGCAGACGGTTGCTGTTCAGCCTGTCCCTAGCGAGACTCCTTCAGGATGCAAAACTGGAGATGCCCAAGCACTTTATGGGCTGTGCTGAGCCTCCTGATGGCTGCAGCGCCCAAATGCCCTTGTGGACGGTCCGCCAACGTGTCTTTCAAGAAGGTGCTGAGGCTAAATGTGCAACGTAGGCAACAAAGATCTTTTCCAGGGCTTCTCGCAGCCCCAGAAAGCTCCATCTCAGGGAAAGGACCCTCTGTAAAAGAAAGCTAGAACCACAAGAAAACACATCACGGGTGCAGTGTCCTGCACATGGGGTGTCCCTGCACTGCAGCCTGCTTTAATGCTTTTTGGTGCCCTCTTTGTAGGAAGTGGTACGTGAGTTGGCTTTGGAGCGGGGCTGGGAAGTTTGAGAGAGAATTTGGTAAGGCTTTAAAAAAAACAAATGTGCTGTAGAAGGCTTGGGTGCCCAGCACTCCCATCAACATCTTTTCAGTCCCAAAAGTACTTCTAACCCAAATGTGCTCTGTGAGTGAGTTACTGATTTATAAGAACTACATGCACACACTGTTGTCCATGGATGAGCACCACTGGTTTAAGATTATATATAATCTACAAAAAAAATTTCTGCTTAAGCAAGCAGTGCTCCATCATAAAAGAGAAGAGCTGTGTGTGGATGTAAAGGAGAGCAGCAATGGTTATATGTGTGCAGATGTATGCATGTATATGTGCCTGCATGCATGTGCAGGCACAAGCGGTGTCTTTCAAATCCACCCTGTTGCCTGGACATTAAAAGGCTTTAAAAAAAGAAAGAAGAAAATGAATGCTTCTGCAGTTTCATCTGCACTAATTGAATTTCTGTCCATAGCGTTTACAGACTTTAAGAGGAGCCCGCATAATTACCTTTTCTCTTGATTTTTTTTTCTCCTCTCTGTTTAAAACTCATTGTATTGTGTCATTTTATAGGCGCCAGGAATAAATCTTTTGTCAGCTCTATTGCATTATTATGCAAAGTACACAAAAAGTGTAGGAATAAAACAGCCCAAGAGAAGCCGAGTGCTGCTCCTTTCAGCCTCAATTCTGCCCCAGCAGCAAGCCTCCAAGTTTGCTAACACAACCTTTTTCTCAGAGAAACTTCCTCACCCTCGGCCATTGATTGCAAAGAGTTCACTTGACCATGCTAATGCCTGCGACGAGGAAGTGTATTTACTGCAAGAAGAAAGACTTGATGAAGGAGCCATCCATTACCTCCACAGAATTGATCCTGGGGGGGTGAAGGAGCTGCTGAAGATTTCTTGGCAGCATTAGAGGGGTCAGTCCGAGGCAGCTCCCTTCTCCCCAGGAATGCAGAAGCATCCCAAGAACTGTTTTAGGACAAAAACAACAACAAAAACAACCAAAAAACAATTGATACTCCACAGTACTCTGAAGGGCAAAGCTCAGGAGGTATGTGGGAAGCTGTCAGCTCCATCAGGTGGTCTCCATGGGCTTTGATTGATTTGAGGAGCCTGATGTAGGAAGAGGGACCTTAACCTGGGGCTGACCCTGCCCCGTTGTGCCACCGCTGGCATCTCCCAGCTGACTGCAAAGCTCCAGGGAAAAACTCATTTAAACACATTAGTGGGTGCTTTAACTTCTCTCCGAGGCTCGTTAGCATTGCTGGAACAGAGCTCTGCTCCCACAATGTATCAGCAACATGGAATTAAGCAACTTAATTAGGCTGGGTTAAACACAAAGAGGGATGTAAGGGAGGGGATGTGAGGCTGGGAAAGCTCACCCACCGCGCTCGGCTGCTGGGAATTTCCTCCATGGAGGATGTCTGCTCCTGATTTGGGTTTGGGTTACCCTCCTGTGATGTTGCAGAGAGTGAGACCCATGGGGCAAGAACGTACAGGCACTCCTGTCACCCATTTCCCTCCCTGCTCTCGCTTCACCTTGTGCAAATAACGGCCCTTTACTTCGGAGGAGAAAAGCCCAGCGACTGGCTGTGCTGGTGGAACCATGGAAAAATCAAGAGGGAAGATTCAGAAGGGGGCCAATGGAAAACTTATTTTTTCTTGGGGGATGATTCTACGGTCACTTGGGAAGCCGTCTGCAGGGCATCATCCCAAAATGTATCCACTCTCACCTAGCTACCACTGTCATTACTTTGTGAGTTGACAGCATGGAGATTTCAGTACGGTGGGAGAAACACATGGTCCCCGTGCCAAACCAAAAAGTCTGAATTACTTGATTACTCGCTAATTATTTCCTGAAGAACAGCTTCAGACAGAAGGTTGAGGGCCCCACATGCATCTCCCAGAGCCATCAGCTGGCACAGGCCGGCGAGGAGCTGCACCCCGGGCACCGCCATCAGACCCTGCTCCGGGCTGGGGCCGAGCAGCGGGGCTGAGGTGCCGGGAGCCTGCACCGCAGTGCCAGGAGGGGCAGGGGGCTGCTGAGGGAAGCGCCCGGCCCCATTTCTTGGTCAAATTTGGTGTTTGTGGAGGTTGAGGTGGGGACAGGCCGTGTGGGGAGCGTGGTGCTTGGTGTGGGATCGCCCTTGCTGGGTTTGGGCTGGGTACCACAGGGACCCCCCTGCACTGTGTCTGTGCAGAGCTGGAGGAAAACCCACCAAGGAGCAAGGAGACGCTCCCATCTTTTTTACAAGTCCCCCTAAGGAAACGACATCATTTAGCCCCAGGGGTTAAACCCTCCAGCTCCGTGCCCTCACACACAAACCCCCACAGCAGGGGCTGAGCCGGGCAGGCTCCGGGGGAGCTCGGGACACCGGCGGGCCCGCAGCTATCGCGAGAGCGGCTGACGACATGACACGACAGGGCACGGGGCAGCAGCGGCAGCACCGACCCCTGCCCGCGGCGGCCCCCGTGAGGAGCTGGGGGGGGGCGGGGGGAGCCGTGGAGCGCCCCGTGCGCGGAGCCCGGCTGGGGGCGCTGGGTTTGGGGCAGAGGAGCCCCAGGAGAGCTCCCAGCGCCTGCCCGGGCCTGAGGGGCTGCAGGAGAGAGGGGAGGGAGCCTGCAGGGGGTAAGGGACAGGCTGGGGATGGCGTTAAACTGGCAGAGGGCAGGCTCAGGTGGGGTGGAAGGAGGAAATTCTTCATTCCCAGGGCGGCGAGGCCCTGCCCAGGCTGCCCCAGGAGCTGGGGGTGCCCCATCCCTGGGGGTGCCCGAGGCCAGGCTGAGGGGGGACTGGGGGCAGGGGGTGGCTCTGGGTGGGCTCTGAGGTCCCTTCCCACCCAAACCCGTGGGTTCTGTGGTTCCATACACCAAGTGCCAGTGAAATGGGACCCATTGCCCTTTCTCCTGACAGGAACACCCCTCGCACCGTGCCTCACCCCTCGCACCATCCAACCTAGAAATTTTAGGTCAGAGGTTGGACTTGATGATCTTGAGGCCTCTTCCAACCTAGAAATTCTGTAATTCTGTGCCTTATCTCCCCCCTTTCCATACAGCCGCTCGCAGCTCTCAGCTCTGCTTCCAGGCTGCTGCCTGAGAACAGCGGTGGGAAGGGGTTGGGGTATCGCTGCACAAACAGATCTCTGTGTGCATAGCTGTTGGGGAACGGCCGTGCCAGGATGCGCAGAAACAACTAGTTATGAATTATTTACATTTCTTTAGTTGCTGCTCGTCGTTTGTTATTCCTCTGTTTAAACAGTTTGTCCTCTGTTCCAGGAGCAGAAGGAAAGCCAAAATGACTTCAGTGACAGCTCAGATATCCCACAGAATGACTAGTAAGTAGTCAAAGTAAACAACTTAGGAAGCAAATGCAGCCGGAAAAATTATTCATCCCATCCGCACAGCAGATTGGTCAGAAAAAAGGAATTTCTGTTCTACGGAAAAACTTTGAATTTAAAAAACAAAGAAGAGATAAATTGTTTACCTTTCCGACAGGATGAAAGTGATTACAAAGAACGTTAGTGATATAATTGTGGTTCTTTCTTTCTACAATGTGAGAACATCAGAATGACGCAGGAAAGGAAAAAAAAAAAAGTCAGTTAAATAGGTGATGTGTTTGGTTTTTTTTTTCCCTATCAAAATGAGAGAGAAGTGCTTTATTTTGACTTTTTTCCATCAAAAATTGTGTGGAAATCAGTGGTTTGCTGTGCAACATTTGGATGAAAATGAAATCCATATTTGCTAATGAAGCATAACTACAGCAACAGCTCCAGTGCTTTGTTTCAAGTTACAGGTCTGATCCTGGCACTAATTTCCCCAGAAAGTCTGTCCAGTTAAGTGGAGCTTCTCTGGACATGCACAGGGCTCCACCACCTCGGAGATAACTCACAGAGACTTCCTGCACTGGGAAGGGCCTGTGCTCATCGCTAATTTATTCACCATGAATAATTCAACCACTTCTTGTCATTGCTTTGCCACACATGTTTCTGCCATAGCCTGCATTTGATTTTATCATGAAAACCTCGAAACTGGAGACAGAAAGAACGTAAGATGTTTTCCCACCCCCCCAGACAGAGATGCCCCTCACATTGTGCTGGTGGATGGAGCGGAGAAGGCAAACACGGGACGTGGAGAGCTACAGCATTATTAGTTTTGAATGTTTGTATTTTATTTACAGTGTTAGGCACAAAAAATAATACCTGGTTTCTAAGCATAGGTGAGGTACAGAAAAAATTGCATTTTTAAGTAAATAAAAAAAATGCAGAGAAAAACCAGTTTTTCCTCTGTCTAGCTTAAATATGAGAATACTGTAGGATTTATTTTCCAGGTGAATTTTTGTTGTTTTTACTCTATAAATAAGCCTAGCTCCATTGATCTCAATGGCGCGATGCTGATTGACACCTACTGAGGATACATGCAGAAGTATTTTTCCTAATGAGCTCCTTCTGAGCCCACGATTGCCAATTGATGTGGCAATTACATATTAATGTGTGCGACTGTGCACAATCAAACTGGGCTAGAAGGGATGCAACCTTTTGTTTCTTTAAATTAATAAAATATTTATTGCAATCAACTCATATCTCCCAATTTGTTGCCAATTAACTAAAGTGTTTGGTGTGCAGCTCATTGAGGGTGCGGCAACAGAGCTGCACTCAGGGAACAAATCGGAGGCTTCTCATGCTGAATTTCGCTCTTTTCCTTCTTTCCAGGTAGGAGCAGAACAGCAGGAGCTAGAATACAGTGAGGACTGTCCCCTCCAGGGAAAACCATCTCCAGTCATCAATAGCAGACGGCCAGCACACCCATCATCAAGGCAAACTTCTGTTGGTGAAGACCAGAGATTTTGGTCTGTAAGTGGGATTTTTAAAAACTTCTTTTTTTTTTCTTTTTTTTTTTTTTCCAGGAATGTTGACTTAAATGGGCAGAAGGTGGAGAGGGTTGCAATGCAGAGTGAGACCAAGTTTTGAAATGCGTTTGTCATGGAAATACAAATCTTGTTTTTCAGCTGGCCTGGTTTATGGAATAAATTACTCCAATTCTATGGAACCCCAGTATTATGGGACTTCAAGTCATGGTAGCACATGTTTATATTTATACAGCAGCTAAGAAAGGACAGAGAGAGTACTAGGGATGTTATCTTGGACTGGTAAAGTACCTTCAGAGCTGCCGTAGGCTGCACCATTATTGCTGGAAAGGTGACTTGGCTGCTTGGAAGGCAAGCACAGGCTTTCATGGTGATGTGGCAGCTCTGGAAGTCAGTGAGAACAGGTTTGGCTTGAGTATGAGTATTTAGTGAACATCCACCCCTGTCCACTGCTCTCCTTCTGGTTGTTTCTGAGCATGCCTTGCCCCTGGGACTCAGCAGGAGCTGCACGGCTGATGTGCAAGCCAAAAAAAACCCCAAAGCCCAAGTTCTTCCACTGCCCCAATTCTCACTTGTGTCCCATAGAAGTCTGTTATTTAAATTATGTTCACAGCATTAATGCTTTGATGGCTCCTTTTTACAGCATTTTCCTCTCACTTGTTTGTTTTTAATTTAAACTAATGAGATGTTTCTGCATTCCTTCCTCTGCGTCAGAGAGCCGGAGAGATTCATTAGAACTCCTGCGAATTCTGGAAATGAGTTTGTAAAATCTTTACTTGGGACATTTCAGATGTGCACACGCCTGCTGGAGGAAGAGCCAGACCCCCCCCCCTTTTTTTTTTTTCTTTAAACAATTTTTGTCAAAGTCTGTGATGAGGGACTGTCTCTTCATAAAATCTGTCTGATAGGATCTTTGATCTCCGTTAGGAAGTGGAGCTAAACGAGGAGAGAATCAGCATCAGTAGCGTATTTCATCCCAACTTCACAGCTCTGATGCAGGAATGGTGATTCATCCCCCAGCCAGGCCAGTTCTTTCAGTGAGCCTGCCATTCATGTGAACTAGGTCTAGCACGCTACCGTTGCTCACATAATTATTAATAAACTGAATGTCTGCATCTAGAATAAAATCAAATCACGTCTTATTTTCCAAGAATGGCTAGGCAGAACAAAGCTAACTTTGTTCTAGCTAAATAACAAGAATAATAAAAAATAATAGATAATAAAAGCAGCCTAGCGCCAGCAGGGTGAATGTGCAGTGTGGACTCACACCAGCAGAGTGTGAAGAGCCAGGGGACACGTGAGGTGTCAGTACTGCCACTGCTTCTTGGCTTGACCCCTTCATGAGCTGCAGACTCGGGTCTGTTTGGAGCTTGTTCAAGTGTTCCCTTGGAAGAAGAGCATGGGAAGAGGCATGAAGGCTAAGGGACTGGAGGAGGACAGAGATTCTTGTAAATCTCCCTTCCTTTGCTTACGGTAATCCCATTTCATCAGCCCTCTGTTTCCGATGTGATAGAGCCTTCCTCTTTTTATATGAAATTAGCACTTCATAACCTCTATACGGAAATGGGGCATCGTTTAAATACAGTCAGTGCAGAAGTTTTGACTGATTACTGGATCAGAGCCAAGGAAACTTAATGATCAGATATGGATAGCTATGCAGCACTAAGCGCCAGGGAAACCATCCCTCTGGAGCTGTAAACCGGGCAAATATGATAAAAGACAGCAACCACAGAATTCCTTGGTGCCAATTTTCAAAGGCACTTTTCAAGAGGAGAAAAGTGCTTGCAGTGATCTTTATTGCTTGCGTGATACGTCTCCCAGTAAATGCACTGAGAAACGTGGTACAAGTATCTAATGTTCAGCCAGCTACCACTAGTGTGTGCTGTTGCAGGCCATTGCCATAGAAAGGAGAAGAAAGGGTTATTTTTTTTTTTCATCTAGGTGTGAAAATAAGTAAATCTGGCACAAGCTGTAGTAGAGGAGAAGGAGCTGATGGTTTCTTTAAGGACAGAAAGAAGTAGCATATAAAATAAATAGTCCCTTGTAAACATGGTACTGCAGCAGGTACTTGCTGCTTTGCTCCGTCAGGGCGCAACCCTTCGTATACTTCCCACTGCAACATTATTTCTGATGAATTATTGAGGTAGGAAAGATATTTTACCCTCCCAACCAGCTCAGGCGAATCATTAAGTGCATCAAACCCTCTACTATTTTATCGAACCTGAAAACATTTTGAAAAATGAGAGAGGCATGTCTGCTTTTAACACAGATTTTATCCTTTTTACATTTTTCCCAAAAGCCCTCTCTGGACTTGGGGAATTTTCTTCATTGTTCATGGGGCCTTATGTGTTTTGTTTTGTGTTTTTTTTTTTTTTTCTTCTTTTTAAGACAATGTTGAATTATTGAAAAACACTAAATTATTTATTTTCTGATCAATAATACATTGGATGCTCTGCTACTTATTTTTATTATTGACAGAAGCAAGTTGGCCGCCTGAGATGAGAATACACTAAGATGAGGAAGATGCTGCTGTAATCAAGGCAATACGGAACCAGATATGCAGTGACCACAAGCTGGGCTACGGACGTCCTTCCCCGCTAGTGAATATTCAGTCTCTTTGGAAAGAAGTGGTTCCTCCTCTGCGGAGGAAAGTCTCACAACACAGGGTATGTATGTCCTTACATCAGGCTATACATCAGAGCTGAAACAGTCTCAGGGAGAGGCTATGATGGAGTGAAACACAAACTCCTGATGTGCATCATTCCAAGAGTGGTTTTGGGAGATGGAGGTGGAGTTGGTGATGTCCCTGCCAGCACACAGCAGCCAGCCTTGCAGGTGGCACAGCTCAAGGGGCATCCATTTCACTGAACAAAACAGGTTTGTGCAGGGTGTTGTGGTAGAATATGACCTGTATGTCTATGCAGTACAATCAGGTTCATATTAAAGATGTTTTATACATAACTGAACAGAAAGCATTAAAAAAAAAAAGAGATAAGGCAAATTAATCAAATCCTCAGAAATATGTAAAACACATAGAGACCAACTAATTGAAGAGTTATGCATCCTAGGATGATAAAGGGATTACCAGATGGCGTCACTTATTTGTCTTGAGTTATTTCTGAGAAATTATAGGAGGAGGAAATGTATAGGAAAGGAGGAAATGTAAATACTGTCCTACTCATCAGAAAAAGTATGACACAGTCAGCTACAGTCATTGAATTTCTAAATCTGAAATAAAAAAGGAGAAAAATATTTCTTTGACGGTGGGTTTATGCAGAAAAAAATAATAATCTTGAAGACAAATTCAATATCTTATTAAAATAGAGTTACAGTTACTAGCTGAAGGGAATGTGGTGGGCACAGTCTATTTGAATTTTAGAAAAGCATCTGATGCAATCTCTCATAAAATTTTAATCTTGAAATAAATTAAAACTGCCTTTGATATAAGCACAGCAACATGGATCCATAACTGGCTAAAGAATCATAAAAATAAGAATGAAAAGTGGCATTTACATTGCACTGCAGGAAGTAGTGGTTCTTAATGCAACCCCGATAGGAATAATTGGCCTTATTTATTATCTCCCTAGCAATAGAGAATAGGAAGTGCACCGGCATGTTGCCAGACCAAACAGGAAGGCAAATAATGGACACCAACATTGCGAGGAGGTAACAGAGGGTTTTTCTGCCCATGGTGGACTGTTACAGTAGGCATACAAAGTGCTTTAAATTCATAGCTTTGCTACACAGAGGTAGCTTGGGCAGGCAGAGACTGGCGCTGCAAGCAGCTCTGCTGTTTTAAACCAACATGAATGCAGGAAAATGAAATGCTTGTCTTTCACAAACGGTAATGTATGTGGTATTCATGATATTTATACATTTAGTGGTGTTCTCCCTTAAATGGATATTGCCTGCAAGAAAGAACTAGTGGTGACCCATTAGGAGACCCTGGGGGATGGGTCCCTGTGTGGTGGCTCAGAGCTGGGCTGGATTTTGACCATCCGCTTTTGGGGAAAGCTAAACTCTTCTCCCCTTTTGCTGAGTTCAAACCAGATAGGACTAGGGGTTGCCAGTGACTTATCGTATGAAGATGACATTTGGACCAAAGTGCACAAAGGTATTGGTGAGGTGTTTTATAATGCAGTACAGCAGTTCTGGGATTTGGGACTTGTTCTAAAGTTCCTTGCTCTAGTTAATCCATGTGCACAACAGAGGGGATCCCTTTCTAGTTTGTCTGGAGGAAAAAAAAAGGAAAAAAAGGAAAAAAAAGAGAAAAATCAGAAATTCTGGGGAGAGCAAAAATTGAGCTGGAGAGTCCAGATGCGACAGAAGTGAGAAGCAGCTCCACACAGTGGTAATTGACTCTGAAGACACTATTCATCTGAATTACTCGGTTTGCAAGGATTGCCATCCTTTCCATCTTCACAGAGGAATTCAATATATTCAAGAGTAAAGCTGTGCAAAGAACTGATTTTTCTCTCTGTTGCACAACCTGAATAAGGAAATGTAAAAGAAAATCATTTCACATCAACTTGAAGCAATTCATAAAATCCATTTAGTGAAATTAAAGTAAAAAATATTTCTCGTGAAATGAAAGACTTTCATTATGCAGCTTTTAATTCTTTTAAAATAAAATCAATGTCCTGCTGTTATGTAGCTTGAAAAGCTTTGTTTAAAGACATCAAGAAAAAGCACCCTAGTTTAAATATTTTTTCCTAGCAATTTCTTTTTCCAAAACAATTTCTCAGATTAAAATATATTAGGAGAGTCTTATCTTTTCTTCAATTTCAGTCTTTGTCTTTCTGATGGAATATGTTCCAAGGAAAGTCTTCCCCAACTCCAGCTGATTCTGGAGGCTCCCAGATGCTTCCTTCACTTTGTGCAGTGCAATGGCCATGGGTAGGTACTACCTTCTCATTGCTATTTCTTAGGAAAAGCCCCAACAGCTCTAGTGTCAGAGAGGTGGCAGGGTCACCGGGGTGGCTGATGGTGGTCCTGGTACTCTCCACTTTTAATCACAGAGAAGACCTGCACTGGAGAAGTTTTGGAGTCCAGCTATACCTGTGGAAATCAGCTTCAGATCATCTGGGATCTCCACAGATGTCCTGTTCCTTCCCACCCATCCTCTTAAGCCTTCCTTGCCAAGGCTCCCATCACAGCGTGGACTAAAGCTGAGCTCATTAGCACAAAGAGGAAGCAAGTTCATTAGCTCACGTTTAGCTTGATGGAAACCACAGCTCTGGGTCTGTGAGCACATAGCTTGTGTGACACCACAGCCACATGCCTGTGCTCCATCTTCCTGCCCTATAAAGCACCGATTGTCACATCTGGAGCTCCCCGCTCCGGCAGCCTTTACTGCATTCTTCATTTTGATGCCACGTTCCAGGCTTTAAATTGCTGAGTCCCCTATTGCTCATTAGCAGGCGCAGAGAAATGGCTTTTATAGACCCATGTATTAAACAAATAAAAGACGTCAAGGAAACTTAAAAACAAATCCAGCTGCTCGCAAATTTACTGCGTGAACATTAAACTCTCATTAAATGCACTTTCATAAAGGGTGGCTTTATTTTTCAACTCTGAATACCTGTGACAGCAGGAAGTAAGGTTATCAAAACATGCCAGCTGAATGAAAACGTCGCCCGGCCTAGGGTTTATAAGTCTCAGTGATGGTGCAAAGAAACCAGAGATTTCTGCCTCTTGTCCTCCTTACAGCCAAGGCCGATGGTGCCCCAGGAAAGGGCTGTGGAGAAGGGATGGCTGATGCTGGCTCGGGCAGTCCTGGCAGAGCTGCAGGTGCACACACAGCACCCACATAGGCGCTGTGCAGAGGCAGGGAGAGGAATCTGCTTGCTGTGGCATATTTACGCATCAGACACTGTATTGATATGGACATATGTGAGCAAATAGAATTGGTTTATTCTCTATTTGAATTTTTATCTGCAAGAATAACCCATTTATTTCTGAATAATCCAGGCTATTGAATACTGAAAGCCCTCCTTTGACTGCAAAAGTCACTGCTCCACAAAATGCTGGCAGAAGATGCTCGGCGAGCCCTGGGATGCATTGGGCTTGTTCCTGCATGGCTCCTCTGACCCCTGACCAGTGCCAGGCAGACCTGCAGCCTGATTCGATGTGGCCTTGCTCGTTTTCTATTAATATTTTGCTAATGTGACTCCTTTATTCCATTTCTGGTTGCAGTAGTAAAAAGTGATTTGATACCAGAAGAAGGGATTTATATCTTTGGGACCCAATTTTCTGAATACTGCACAAAAATGTACATACAGTTCTTGGCAATGAGCTGGATTTTGTATGCAAATTGGGTTGCTGTGTGTGTAATTGCCCTTTCAATGCATAATTGCCCATGGGCAGTTTTTGCAGAAGATCCTATCAACGGCATGTGCAGATAAGTCCTACATTTCTATTCACTTCAGGAAATGTGCCCAGGCAGGAATTTAAAACCAGACACCCAGGAGGGATGAGAACTTCTCAGCGATCTGGAAACAACGAACACGCGGGCTGTAACCAGCAGGCAGGATTTTGTGGACATGATGAGCCTGAGAAATGGAGAGGGTATTTCTGCTGCAGGTTCAGGACAACCCGTAGCAGAGGCAGGCACCTGGAGGGGATGGCAGCAGCTTCCCAGATCTCACCTGGCGATTGCAGCGCTTGGAAAGCACGGCTCAAATTAACCCTTCCCTCTTCTGCCCGAGTGCTGAGCCACAGATGAGGAAACCCCCCAAAATTATTTCTGGGTATTCATTCCTTGTGTGAATGCTGAGATAAGAAGGGGCTCAAGCCCTTTCCTTCAAACCACAGTGGAGAAAACCTGCTGCAGTGCCTGCAAGAAATTTTCAGAAAACTTTTGTGAGTTTTTACTGAAACCACAAGCCTTTTTTTTTTTTTACCCTTCCACAATTTTTCTGTCTAACTTTTTAAAGGCACTTTTACTGAAGATTTACTGATAGAAACCTTCTACTGAGTGCATTTGATCGCTCCATATTTCAGAAACAATGTAAGAATGGAAAAATCTCTCTCTTTAGGCTCCATTATCTCACACTCCTGTTGTCGGCACTGAGTTATAAAGAACCGGTGCTACGCTTAAAACGCTGAATGGCTTAACTGCTCAGAACATAAAATGAAAGCACTAAACTTATCAGTTTTGTGTAAAAAACATGCACTTTTCCCTTACAATAAACAAATAGATATATAACAGCAAGCGAAATAAAGCAGGCAAATGCCTCGTCTTCTCTCCTTGGTGTGCAGGGCTGTAGTTGCCTGCTGTAAGAAAATACATCGCTGGCATTGACTTTAAGCTCCATGATGGCTGTGAGAGTTGTTGTCTGTTCACAGCCTCAGTGGCAAATTGGGTCATTTCCAGGGGTAGTACTGTAAGAGATTTTGTCTCTGAAATTGGAGCCCCCTCTCCAAATGCACAGGTCCAGCATAGCTGTAGGGAGCACCCCAAGTTTGTGTTGCGGTCGTGATCATCCTGCCAGTGATGAAAATCTGCTGGGCAAGCTGTGTCTGCTTGTGATAAAATTGATAAGATAAATGATTTTTGTAGACAAAGGAAATGCAGGATATCTCATCTATCTGGACCGAAGAAATCATTTGATATAGTGCCACATGGGAAATTATCAGCTCAACTGAAAGCGTGGAGAATTTATACAGGACCTGTAAAGTGGGTACAGCACTGGCTAAAGGGAGGCCACTGACAGCAAACACTGAAAGGGGAATTATCGCTCTGAAGTGAGGTTACCAGTAAACATCCCCCAGGACCAGGAGCGGGACTGAACATATTTCATTTCTGCACTGACCTTGGAAGGGAACGTGGGAGTGTGCCAATGACATTTACAGCTCATGCAATGTTGGGAGCATCGTCAGTGCACACCGGGATGGGGCTATTAACTGACGACTGACCTTGAAATCTGAAGTAATAGAAGTAGGATAAAATGCAATAGTATATAACGTATGGGCAAGTTCTTATGGAACAGCTGAAAAAAATTCAGCTATTTGTTAGAAGTGGCCGAGTGTACTTGAATGTCACAGGTTAACCATTAATGGCCAATTATATGGTCTCAGGAATAAAATGGTCAGATATATCCAAGTGGGATTTCCAGCTAGTGCTGGAAGTCCAGGGAAGCACTAATTCATTTTCACAAAGGTTGGTCTCATCTCATCAAAGCTGTGTGCGCAGCTCTTCCCAAAAGTGAGAAGCTACGAATTCAAACTGCAAATGGTCCAGTGAAGGGATCTGGGGCAGTCAGGGGAATACAAGCACTGTTCATCTGAGAGAGGAAGAAAGCACTTTGTTGATTTAGGTGAAGACTGGGTGTGCAAAGTACGGGAAGGACAAATGGTTTAAATAAGCCAGGAATTAATTTAGGCTTGAAATTAGAGGAAAATCTCTGTAGCAAGAAGTTGGGACACAGCCCTCAAACAGCAGTGTCAGTGGGGTGTGAGCGGTGCCTGACAAAGTTCTCTTACTGGAGCTGCAAGTGGCCATCAGGAGCTGGGGGTCAGGCCGAGGAAGACACTGTACTAGTTGGCTTTAGCATTTTACACCTGGATCTGAACAGATCAGTCATGCAGTGAACGGGGCCAAAATGAGACCACGAGATTCACCTGCCTGCAGGCCACGTGGATTGAAAACCCAAAGGAGCAGCCTGGGCACCGCTGTCAGCTCAGCACTCTTCAAAGGATTCCGAGGAGACGTACAGAAAACGCGTGCATTTGCCAAAACCAGGCTCAGGCCATGAATGATTCATGAACAGAAAACAAGGCTACATTCATCGGATAATTTATATGTAAACCACTCATTCCTCCAGCTACAGAAAAAAGCCCAGATCCCTGCAGGTCAGAGCTGTAAAGAGCCGCCAGCGGTGGGAAGGATGCCCTTGTATTTATGCCCTGTGAGGTTTTCCCATCAGGCTGTCACCAGCCCCTTGCTCCGCAGCACCGGGGATGCTCGTGCCCTTTATCACTCACCACGGACCATCCTGGGTGCACATCCATCTGACGTGCAGATTTCTGGGGTGCTGAGCTTGCTGCAGGTGCTTTGGTTTGATGCAGTAATGGCAGCGCTCACCGAAAGCCAAAATCCTCACATCCAATGTCATCTGGGGGGCTGTGGGCATACTGCGATCTGTTGGGATGGAAAGAGGCTTTGGAGGCATCTGTCCACAAACCCACTGTATATCAGAGATCAAGGAGAGAGGCAGCTCAAACACAATCCACGTGTAAAAGCAGACTGTTTTCTGTGCTGGAGGGTTCTGGGGTCTCTGCAGATAGGCAGTGCTAATTACTGTGCTCATTTTAGTGTTGCTAATGTCCATTCCTCATTACGAGCATGGTCCAGGGTCACCAAAGCTTCTTATTAATTCCACAACTCTGCGATGGATAATGAACTGCAGAGAAAGCAGGAAGGAGACCTCAGCTCTGTGTTGGGAGTTTGCCATTGCCCTGCCTAGGACAAGCCCAGCCTCGTGGAGCTACATGGTTCCTCCAACGTGAGTCATCCTGCTCAGCCTCCCCGAGCTCTGTTTGGTAGGATCCTGGCTCTTTCTGTTTGCTTTCTGTGCAGTGCAAGCATTTGCCCAGCGGCTGGTCAACAAACAAACAAGAGCATTCTGTTTAAGAACACGTTTTTAATATCCTTCACTAGTATTGATCTGACAGTTAAGTCACTGAATGGTCTTGAATCTGCTGAAGAACATAATAGACAGCAAAAAGATATTACGACCTCAAGCAAATGGCTCGAAACCTGTGAAATTTACCTGAATGTGGTCACCAAGCACCACTCACCTCATACGTACAGGAGAAGCAGCTCCACCAATGAGCTTTTTTAAACCTCTTACAGCAAACTGGGCCAGATGGACAACGGCTCTGCCCCAGTAACGCTGCTGTTATTTATCTTCTATTGGGAATAGGCAGAGTTAACAGACAGTTTATGTTTAACCAAACATCTTTTGGTTTCAACTTCTGAGAGCGTGATTGCTGAGTTCTGATGAATTTCCAAGTTTTTAAGAAATTAATTTCATTTAACATCATAAGCTTCCTAAGGCACTTGCTTTCAAAGGCCTGTCATATCTGCCTGTGTCTGCCACAGATTTTCATTTTTTTCACATCCATATGTTAAGAAAGAAATGAAAAAAAAAAAAAAAAGCAAAAATGCCTGGTTTGATTCTAAGTTGCAGGGTTTTGATAACCAAATCCCTTTGTAAGCTGGTAGAGGCAATGGCCACCTTCTAATTCATGGCATTGTTCCCTTTCTGCAATCTCCATGGCCCCGTGCCTTGCTGCCAGAATATGCAAAGAAGTTTCTTGATTGTCATCTCTACCTTGCAAAGCTGTTCTTGACTTTGAAACTGCTGCAGTTCTTGCAAGGCTTGTTTTCAACCTGAATAATTCTCAGTATTTTCCCCACAGTTCTGCATAGCCTTCTGGTCCTCACTTCAGTGTTGGCTAAGCTGTCACTTACAGGAGTGATGCTGTCATTACAATATTTGATTGTTTTTTAGTATAGCGATCGTTGAAAGCATTTCATAAGGAAACTAGTTGGTTATTTCTTGCAGTGAAGCTGGTGGCAATGCCAAGTAGTGGGTGTGGAAGAACTCGCCTTCAGCCTCAGCATTGCTGTAGCATCAGGCCCACAAGCTGCCCCTGCCTGCATCTGGCCCTGAAGATGACACCTGGCAGAATTCACACACCTTCACTTGTCCTGCATTACTCCTCCAGGCACCCCAAATGCACTTGCAATGGACACTGTTACCATTGAACGCTTTTTGCAATCCAGCAGTTAAATGAGGATGCCCCCCTGAGCCCCCAGAGGTTGCTCTGTATCAGTTACTGATTTTTGGCTTACTATCAGTGCTGTTTTGATTTGTGCTTATGGTAAATACGTGGCCTTATGAGCTGAAACACAATACTTCTCCCCTAGGGCTTACCATAACCAACTCTTCCGTTTTGCTGAGTGTACCAGATATTTTTTCTTTCCTATTTGGAGCACGGAGCCTTTTTGCTGTTCCCTTGCAAAGCTTTGCCAGTCCCTCATTTTGTAGAACAGTCTTTTTTTTTTTTGTCATTGCTGAACATTCACCAGTTCAGCAATGCTGATGGACTTCAACTTTGAGAAAACTGCTGTTGAGTTTTCTGTGTAATATTTCACTGCTATTTTTATTAACGCTGAAAGTTTGACTTATTTCCCAAGGTCAGTACCTTCATGGACCTTCTACCACATAGCTTCAAAAAGCTTCTACCTGCTTTTAAAAACTGGTTTGTGTGCTGCTTCTTTTTTTTTTTTTTTTTAAACTGTTGGAATCTTTCATTGTTAAGGCCTACGAGGGGGTCCAGCTGCTATAACCTGAGAGTTACAGCCCTAGCGCATGGATGAAGAGTTTTTCTGTCACTTCTTTGAGAAGCCACTTTGCCTTCATGATCCATCTCCTTCCTCTGGTCTTTACTCAAATTGCATTTTCCAGCATTGTTTGTTCTTTGTTTTGCGGAGAGCTTCTCCTGCTGCTTCTGTGAGTATATTTTGGAGTAGCTGATGTTCCTTTTTCAGCTGTCCCCTGCATGCTCTAGATGGCCTCACCCGCCCTGCCTCTAGGGTTATTGCCTGTAAGCTGGCAGTGGCAGTTCAGTCCCTGCCGGTGGTCATTCTGGAGCTGCGGTTGTGATAGCAGGTAAACACCACCAGTCTTTCACTATTTTGATTTCCATAACCCAGACTGCTATTTGATTGCTTTTCCCTCACACTGGTTGATTTTTCCTGGCTGAAATATCTCATTGTTTAGAGGAAGTCATGCCTGGATTTTCATTAGAGTCTGGAGACAACAGAAGAGCTGACCCTCACTCATCCCCACAGCTTTCCGTAGGTGTGTGATATTAGATGAATTTCAACCACCTCACTGCCTCCCAGATTATAAGCAATTTTTTCTGACATGCAAATTATTAGTTGTGTAGACGTTGTACTAAAATCAGAATCATCCATATAACGTAAAGATTTCAAACTCCGTGCAAACTTCTGCAGAAGCGTTCCTGCTCTCAGCAGTGCTTTGTAGTTGCAGTAAGGGCAACTCCTGAGAAGCACAGCAGCAGAGATTGTATTGTTTTATGGATCACAGGGCTGGCTCGTCACAGATCTCGTACGTTTATCCAGTACAACGGCCTTGGTATTTGCCTGCATACCGGGATCACAGGCATTCTGCCTCTCCCTGGATATGTCTCCTCCGAGGCTGTAAAATTGTTTGAAATCAAATACAACATTTTAATGATCTTATGAATTCTTGGGTAGAGTTACTGCCTAAAATAACCCATCACATCCAGTCAGAAGCAAGTGTCCTGATTCAAGTCTCATTGCCTCCAATGAGAGACATGTAAGGAAACCCGCTGTCGTGTGAAGAAATTCTTGGAAGCAATGTGCTGAAATAGTTGCAATGAAGGGTGAAAGCGAAACGGTAGGTCAGGGTTGGCACTAAAATTTGCTGGTTGAACACTCCATTAATGACAATGGTTTAAGACCTGGCTTCCATACCAGGATGGATTTCCTGCATCCTCTGGATCCCAGTAAATACCTGCTTGGAAGAACAAATCCCTGCCAGCTCCAGCCTTAGAGCTCTGCACTGTGAGTGGACAAACAGCTCAGCCTTGAAGTTGAGTGCTTTACATTCAGTTTGCAGTTTGGGTGGCAGAGGAAGAGGAAAGGCTCTACCTGCCTGCCTCTGCGGCACCTATTCTGCAGAGAATTTTCATTCCCAGTGTTTTGGAAGTGGCTCCTTCCCCCATCCCAGCTGCACGTGACAGGCTGACATGCCAGCTGAAGCCCTGAGTGCAGCATCTGCTCTCCTCCCCCCTGCATCACATGCGCGGACCCTATTTATAGCAGGAGAGGATTTTTGCTCTTATGCATCATTCTATCCAGCAGAAAGCAAAACAGAAGGAGAAGCTGGTGCAAGAAAATGCTTCCTTGAGCCTGATTTTGAACAGAGAAAGGAGGAACAACCTCCTGCCCCTCGCAGTGCTCTCAGAGCACACAGCGGCACGTTGGCTGCTGTGCAATGCCCGAGAACCTCTTGGAGGCTACCATACCATGGGGATGAGCAAATTTGAATTGAGCCAAGTGTATTTAGTTTTTAGAAGACTGGCATAAGTCATCTTTATTGAATATAATTTAGTTTTAACATATTGCTCTGTGCTTGAGTTATTATCTTCACTGTGCTTGGAGAAATAAATTACATTGAAGCCTTTATTTTTGACCTGTGACATCAATACACGCCATGGACAGATTCCAAAATCTTATCAGCTTTGGCATGGCTATTAAATTACAGTAGTGAACAAACCTCTTTAGAAATGAAAAATGCTTTTGGAGCTTTGACCTTTTACATTTCAATTCGTAAAGAGCCCAGTGCAAATGGGAAATGCTGATCAAAATCCAGTTACTTTAATCTTGCAGGGTGTCCTTTCTGCAGAAGAAAGAACAAAATGTATCTTCGTGCTTCTTAGCCCTTCAGATCTCGACACCAAAGTTTGCCTGGAACTATGATATTTGGTGCTAGAAAGCAGCGCTTATCAGCACAGAACACAGCAAATTAGCCAGAGACAGATAGATTCCAAAAAGAAACCTACTCCAAAATGAAGATAGGAATTAAAATTGGACAAAGGCACACAGCTATTCTTCTGGCAGGCAGTCTGCCGTAGTTGATGTGCAGAGAAGATGCACGAGGAATGTGCAGTATTTTAACCTCCGCTCCAGCTCTGCCTTCAGCGTGCACCGAGGCTCCTTCTGTTTGGAAGATGGGGAATTGAACCGAAACTGGCATTTTGTGTGTTCTAAAGCCAGTTAGCAGTTCGCCAAGATTTGGGTTGTTTTCTCACTTCTCCCACTGTGGCTTCTGTCTTCGCAAACCATTTTCCCTCTTCCAAAAATTCTGCATTATTCCTTGTGCAACACATGGCAATGTGAAGCCTGCAGTGTCAGATGGGGAAATAGATTGGGATCAAAGGACAAGATTTAGAAACTGTGTTGCAGAGCAATGTGTAGCAGCTGGGCTGAAATAAATGTCTCTGTAGCAAAACTGACCAGTTTACAGAAAATATTATCTAACGTTCCCCATGTTTTTTGACTTTTCATCTATTTTCAAACAAGTGGAGTAAATGCCTTAGTGTTTCCAAACCTTTCAAGGAAACCTAAGATAGCAGGTGCTTTCCAGAGGGGTGTTGGATATTAATTCCTTTCTCACTACTTCTCCTAGCTCAGCTTGCTTTCGACATTATTCAATAGTGCTTTATGTGTTTCTGACAGTTTTCAGTGAGAGACAATGTTTCTACTGTCAGTAAGAACAAAAAGCAAAAGTTACACTTAAATTAATGAATACAACTGGACAAAGTCTTCTACAAATTTGTCTTTCCCTACTAAGCTTTAATGAAGCAGTAACACTAAGGAGATGCAGAGGAGTTTCTGGATTGTTTGTGATTTTTCAAGAGAGCAATTCTACCCTAGGACATCCATCAGCAGCACTCATTTATATTCCACTTTAATCCTGTATTACCTTTTAATAGCTGGTGAAAATCTTGACATTCACAGGAAGGCAGTAGCTAGTTTCCTTGCTGAATCAGAACAAGGCAAGGTGCAACTGTCTGGGGCATAGGAGGGCTCCTCCGTTAGTGAAGGCAGGAAGATAATTGAGTATACTGATGCACCAAATGGGACCTGCACTTCTAAATGGATAATTACAGGCCAATAAACTCATTAAGAGCAGCTTTGCAATTAATTTTTATTTATCTATTACAGGTGCAATATTGGACCTAAAATTATGGACAGCAAATAGTTAACAGGTCTGCAAGCCAGGTCTGTTAGCCAGACAGTTAAAATAAAGCACTGAAAAGCCTAATGTATGTTAATTGAATGCCAGTTGATTAAACATATTCATTGAGGTTTCACATATAGGTCATAAGTAATCTATCTATTACATACTTGTTAAACCTCATTAAATAATTGCCTAGTGGTATTTAACATGCAATAAGTATCCCCTGAAATTCAACTAAAATGTATTCTTGCTTATGAATTTGCCTAAGTGAATCGATTGAAGAGTGTTAAAAAAGACTTGTTAAATCAAATACTGCTAGTGAAGTTTTTAAACAGGAGAGATCTGCTGTTCTGTAGTGCAAGATATTCCAGTAAGCCTGCTAAAAGTCATACAGTATCTGCACAATTATCCGTGTAATTCTGTGCTGAGGAAGAAGATTAGTCACTGCAAAGCCATGCTCAGGAGCACGGAGCTGGAGTCTGCAGGACAGAAGCAGAAAGCAGTGCCTAGGTCGGGAGAGGCATTGCAAGGCATTTGCAGGATGAAAAAGCCTGGAGCTGCAAACTTGACGTCTATTTTCATGAGTAAAAAACTTTTGCTAAAATCTGAATGTTTTTCCCCAGATACAAGGCTCGTTCATGCCACTTGTCCCTTCTGGGTCATTAATACGATCTTGCAGTCACAGACTCGTGAGCGGAACAAGCCAAGTCCCCTTCCAAACATAAATTAAAGCCTCGTGGAGTCTGTGGGAGGCACTCACTTTAAACCACACATTGCTCATCGAAGGCATGAGTAAGCTTAGGCACCGTGTCTAAATGATTTGCCTAGACTTTCTCAGAAAAATAGATGGAGAACATCATCAGAAACCTTCAGAAATCTAAACCTTGCACCTCGGTGGTGTCAGGGAACGCGTGGAGTGCACTTAGCTTCAGCTTGTGAACTGCTTCTGTTCCTCCAGAACAGACACTGCCACAGAGCTTGAAAACTTTCCCCTCCTCCAGCCAAGTGCATGTGGCTCGCCTCAGCCATAATTGATAATGAGCAGCAAAAAAAAAAAAAAAAAAAAAAGTTTATCAGCTAGAGCTTAGTTGTTGATGGATTACCGAGACATCTGGTTGTGGCACAAATGACCAGCTCATGCGATTTATAATACTTCCTGTGATGCTCAGCATCATGGACCAGGCTCTTTTCAAGAAGATAGATGCAGTTTATTCTTTCCTGGGTCTTCCCAGTGTGTTTCAGAGCCCAGGAGCACTGGCAGGCCAAAGCACCCCCTGCCTGCTCCCTCCAGGTTATCTCCAGGTGCTGGCGGTCTGGGGGCCATCCAGGTTGGAAGTGACAACTCCGGGAGCTCCTCTCTTGTCTCACACAGGGCCAGAGAGACAGAAATGTGGCATTGAATTAGAAACCTGGAGATCTTTTCTACTATCTGAGAGACATTTGGCATTTAATAGAGATGGCATAGA